TGTTGACATATTCTTGACAGAAATGTAACAGAATTTAACCTTGTAACTTCGTAACTTCGTAACTTTGTAACTTTTGTAACTTCGTAACTTGTAACGCTATTTCCAGGGACCCCGTGTTGACATATTCTTGACAGAAATGTAACAGAATTTAACCTTGTAACTTCGTAACTTCGTAACTTTGTAACTTCGTAACTTCGTAACTTCGTAACTTCGTAACTTGTAACGCTATTTCCAGGGACCCGTCTGCTACGGAGGCTAGCGTAACCTTGCAACATTTGAAATATGATATGTCCGCCAATATGGCGGCCAACCACCAAGTGATCACGTGGGTGAAATACTGGACGTTTTAGGCTTTCGGGCTTTCTGTGTACTATTTAACCATTAGACGATATTTTCTGTGTTCAGCTACAACCTGGCCCTTACGTTTTGCGCCTGACCCCAAGGAAAGGTTGTGTTCAGCTACTCGCGATCGAAATCCTGTTCAGGTCCTTTTCTACCAATAATCTCGCCGCGTGTTTCTAAAAACAAGGAAACATGGAGTGATACGTATTCCATATATGGTATTAGCTAACAAGCGTATAGCGGTCCCTAACAAGCGAAAAGAAGCACCCAACAAGCGAAATAGCGCCCCCTAAGGAATCCCAATCTACAGATGATTCTAGCAATGCAAAATACTTTAAATATTACAAACAATTCGTTGTTTGCCAGCGTAATCCCTCGTGGTCAAGTCAATTAAGGCGCTTTACACTTGTTACTCGTTACTGTCGTTGCTTGTTACTGTTAAGAAGTGCTAAGAAGTCGATAAAAAAATGTATGGACCCTTGTTCGCTTCCAAGGTGCTTCTATTCGCTTTTGTATAAACATACTAATGGTCTATCACTCATACTGCGCTGTGATTGGCTACTCTACTAATGGTCTAATTAGCAATTAGACCTCGAGGTCGAGTGGACTACGAGCTAATAGCCCATGAGGCCGAGTCCGCGAGGCCGAATGGGCTATTATCTCGTAGTCCACGAGGCCGAGAGGTCTAATTGTTTTAGTATAAACATACTAATCGGTCAAACAATGAAAACAAATTGAAATATCCTTAAAATAATTTATAATCTATAATTTATTTATTTTGATTTTCCCGCGAGTGGTCTATCACAAATTAGACCATTAGTAGAGTAGCCAATCACAGCGCAGTATGAGTGATAGACCATTAGTATGTTTATACTAATTTGTGATAGACCACTCATTTTCTATTAGCTTGGTCTGTAGTCAGTCTCCTCGCAGGCGTTCTTAGTGCCGGGCTCCCTGCAATGCTCCAGGGGATTCCTGTGTAATAGCTCACATTGAACTCTGGGTAACAGTCCATACACGCGCTCTTCCACGAAGATCAGAGAGGTTTGTCTCGTTTGGTATCCCCAAGAAGATGGTTTGAAGAACCTCGGAATCTTCATAGCAATGCTATAGCTAAAAGATGTATCGACAGGTGAAAAGGTAGGTTTATATAGTACAATGTTCTTTTTGCTTGTTTGCCCTACGTTTTTTCCCTGATAAATGTCTCCCTTATTGTTGTCTGATCCGCCATCTTTTAAAGTGAAATTCAGTGAAGTGCAATCCTTGGAAGTTAGCTTTTTGTAGTACTATTTCCTCAATTAAAGTTGGACTACATCAATTAGGGTGGAATTTTAAAATAATGTTTTAAGAAAACAGCTTTTAGCG